CCAATGTTTCATATAACGGCACTAATACGCTGTTATTGTTATACACGGCTTGTTCACATATAATCCACTGAAATATGGCAACCGATTCATTTCAAATCGATGAAAATTGATCAAATCCAAATGTTTTTCTTTTTCTGTGACATGTCAACCCCTTTCTGCTTCTAGAGAATTGTATCAGTCGAATAATCAGAGACAATTTCTGACTGAATCCAAACTATTTGATTAGCAAGCAACTAAAACTAATAGAAATGAAATAAATCAATTTGTTGCGATATCCAAACCTCAGGTCTGTTCTTCGCTAGAATACCAATGAACGTGTTCTGTCCAGATTGTACACGAATCCCTCGCAAACCGTAAGCAATATGTATGGAACGATCAATTACCTGATTGAATGTGAGAGGTAATATCTATTGTCGAGAGGAAGTTCAAAACCATTCATTCATATGGTACAAGAACAAAATGTACCATCAAATTCTAGCAAAGTCATTGAAAAGAAATCTCAAATGGGTGTCTGATAAACTGCTCGATGAAGTATTAAAATCACTAAATATCTGATGGATGAAATTCGAATGCTGCTAGCACGGTGAGTTTTCGTCGATATCGAACGATATGTTGACATTCTTAATGTTCAATTGAGCCATGGCGAAACAATCGCTGTCTGCACTCATACTCAATTGTAACTGCAGGATTAAAGCAGATATCAAGCTTCCATCTCGAATGATATTCTAAGATTTTGATTCAACTTAAATAAGACCAAGAAATATTACGATCTCAGCCCAGAACTACTACCTCTTTATACGATAGCCACTGATAGGGACCAACACTACCGTCGGATTGCTTTTCACGATAGCCTAGCATTCGACCATCCACCGATTCGCGCAATCCCCTCCGAACGGCATCGGAGATCGTTCTGACATCGTCGTAGTAGGTTTCAACGAGTTCTTCACCGATATGACATGCAGCTAAACGTGATCCGTCCTTAAATTTTTTCTCCAAATGCATTATTCAGCTACCTTGCGATTTTTTTTTGATTAGTAGCAATCGAATTTTCATCGATGCTCAAAAATATTTCGGTCATCATTTGTCCCTTTCGTCAACTATTGCATCGTACCGATAAATTCCCCATTTGAATTAACGTTCTAGAAAGTGGCTGGCTAAAATTTTCTGAATGTAGAGAAATGAGCGTGATTGGTTGGTCATTTTCAAGTTTTCATTTTCTTGGATTTTGCAATTTCTTCCATCCAATTAATAGCATAGCCGTACTGAT